TTTTATTAACCGTCCAAGAAACACGCATCAAAATCAAAAGTATTAAAAGTTATACTTAAGGCTGCCTTTTGAGCTTCTCACACATACATGGTACGTCTGTTTTATGAAATACTTAAGGTTTTCTTTAGTGGATGAAACTTGATGGATCAAAAACGCCAAAAGATCCACAGCTGGTATGCAGCTTTGTAGACAGAAGCATATTTGATGCACAAATAAGGTTTTTAGCAAATTCCTGCTCTGAAATTGTACATTAAATCAGAATGAAAGACAAAAACAAAGTTTGGACACCCATACTTTAACCCCTTTCTCTGACTAAAGTGCCACCAAATGCAAATAATTGTTTTTAATCATTTTTCTACAACAGAATTATCCTTCTGGGGTCGTGCTGGTGTGGACCATTTTCAGCAGAGATAGTAGCATCATTGTTTTGGTGTTTTGATGTAGAAAGGACTGTTACACTTTATAAAATATTAGGGACAAATATGAAAAAAAAAATCAATGTTTCAAAGTGAAAATCAGTCCTAGTGAGCAAAGAAGCCTACAGATGTATTTACACCAGTTCTACCTTGAGAAATGGATCAACATTTCAGCCAAACATTAACTTTATTGTTGAAAAAAGTAAAAATCCTCCTGGTCATTATTCCATATGACTGCCAGTCAGTTTAAACAGCATACTTTCCATATTTGTACATTTTATCATATTATTGCCTTAAACGTTTCACCTTTGAATAAAAGTTCATGTTGAGTGACCTGAAATGATTTGAGAGTAAATACTTTAAACTAAACTGCTTTGATTTGATTAATTTCTGTTTTCTGAGATCCATTTCTTCTTTCTTCCAGCTGGTGTTCTTTAATGGTTAACCCTTTTTTTGTTTTTGTTTTTTCGAGTTTTTAAGGCACTTTTTTAGTTTTTACGGTTCGCTTTTTCGACAGTAGTCTGACAGGAAAGGGGGTATGAGAGAGGGGGAGAGGCATCCTACAAAGGACCACAGGTCTGATTCGAACCCGGGTTCTTGTGTCGTCCGCGCTAACCCCTGCGCCACCTGCACGCCCTAATCCTGTTTTTAACAATTGTTTCACCCCTGATGCGGGAACTTTTTTCAGCAGCAAAACCCTGGTAATCATGTTTCCAACTGAAGTGATTTAAAGAAAACTTAGTCCAGTGACTCAGACAGCTGGAACCAGTGCATGGAAAGAAAATCTTGTAGCTTTTCTCCTACTCTAGTTGCAATGCTTAGTTTACATTTAGTTTGAAAGCCATTAGTATTATAATATTTTGTCTGCTTCTGGACAAAATGAGTCAGTCCCACCTTTAACAAAAAAAACCCAGCTGCCTCCGTTCTCTCCAGCTATGCTTGTGAAAAGCACAGCGGGCACGGGCAAATTGGGAGCAGAACCATGACTCATTCCTCTGACATTACTGAACAGACCATGCTGCACACTGGAAACATAGGGCTGTAAATGGGATGGAAGGAAACCGGAGGGGGATGAATTGGGGAGAGTAGAAGCAGAGGGTAGAAATCAGTTTGCTGCTGCGCTTTATTTTGTCACTTAAATCCACATGGATGGACTCCCCTGCTGATTCTTATACTTGTTCTTGTATATGCACAACATTGGTTGGACCTAACTATCTCATGTCTCAGAATATTTCTGCAAAAACGGGTAGTCTTTTTTTTTTTTTTTTTAGTCCTTTTTGAACCAGATGTTTTGATTTTATTCATGGCAAAGCTTCTGGTCCGTCAGAAAATCCCCAAACCGCCTCTTAGGTTTTTATTACCTGTAGGCAAATACTTAACACACCCTGGACTGCATTCTGGAAAAATTCTTCTTAAATGAAACTCTGATCTGTCCAAAGGGATTTAACTTCCCTGCAACATTTTTTCTCTGTATGCATGGATAGAACCAGTAGCCCTGCCATTCGGAGGACCAAGAAAACACCTTTGTTTTTAATGCCGTGTATTTTTAGAGACGCACTGCTGTCTGAAAACTGTACAAAGTAAAATTTATACATTATGTGTGCACAAAATGACAATAAAAGTTGTCAAAGTTTAAGATCCCAACCTGGGTTTTTAGATCAGGGTTTGATGTTGATGATACGCCGAGCGCTTCATATTGTAATATTGTTGAATGAAACTATGATAAGGATGTGTTATAGTGCTTTATGAGGGCAGTGACAGGCCTTTTTTTTTTTTTTTTTTTTTTTTTTTTTACAGCCATTCAGGTCTTTAAATAAAGTAATTCCTCTTTAGTCACTCCCCTGGTTACTTCTGCATCCAACAATGGCGTTCAACAGTCTGCCGTTGGTTCTTATTGCCAAATGTCTAAAAGGCCAGTGAATATTTTCAGCTGCTGACCTTTTTGGAGTGTACCACTCATGCTTCTGCAACTGTGCAATTTCAGGCCCCAAAACAAAGGTCCATTTAACTTTTCACTGTATTAGTCTCTACACACACGCTAGGATTTCTGTCCTGTTTGACTTGGCACGCCTGCTGGTGCTGCAAGGGTTTATCCTGTTCCGCTACAGACAGATTAGCTGAGTTCCTTTGAGCTTCCCTCCAGAAAAAAAACAAAAACACAATCCACGAAAGCTTTCTCTAAACGGTTTGGAATACAGAGGTTTAAACACCTTTTCCGGACCCTTTCTCTCTGTTTCCTGTCTGAAGCCTTTTCATCCATTTCTCCGACTGAGCGCTCCATCTTGGATTTATATATATTTGTGACGCAGTGTCCTATTCCTAAAAGCAGGATGAGCCCTATGCAGTGTTCATCCCATCCCATAATAGGGAAGCTGTTGTTAAACTTGACAGAGAGGTCACTATGGGCTCTCCAGGGCTACACCTCCCCCTTCCTAAATGTCTGTTTCTATTTAAAGACTCTTCAGCTGATGCAACTAAAGTAAGAAATAATAAATGGTGGGTGTGTGACAGATGTTATAGAGATTAAACATGAGTTTTAATGTTGTGCTTTCCAAAAGTATGCATACTGCAGGAGTGTTTCTTGCTACAACTGCAAACATAATTTAAACAGTGAACAGTTGTGACGTATAGTGGAGTCCTTTGTTATATGTGGCATCCTTCTTCTGAAGTCCAGCTGTGTGTTTGGAAGCAACATCTTGCCTTAATTCCCAATATAATTTATGTCTGGATTCTAACTTGACAAGCATAGGAATTAGCTTTTATCTAGGCTCTCCCACTGCGAGTTTGTCTTAGGATTCAAAGGCTGTCTACTTGCCCTGCAGTCTGAAGTCACTTGCATCTTCTAAAAGTTTAAGCTGGACTTAAATTCTTTTTACTGCTCTTCTAGAAAGGCCAGATTTGTATGACATTGGAACTATGAGTTATCCTGTCTGCAGATTTTTCTTTTTCACTTCAGTTTAGATCTCCAGAGAGTCGCTCTTTTGGCTGCAGCTCACTGGTGTTCTCTTGGAAACTTTGGAGACATTCAGACGAGCTGCATTTATTCTGAGATTAAATTATTAAATTACACACATATGAACTTTATCTACTAATCAGGTGAACTCTGTGGGAAGTTGGCTGCACTGGATTATTTAGGGGTATTCAACATATGCTTGTCGCTTTTCAGATTTTAGCTCCACTGTGTGACTCTGTTGTGACGTGCTCAGCTTTTATGGAGGTTTTTGTCCTTGAGGCAACTGGAGGACTCCATCAGTAACTGCATATCTTCCCACTCTCTTTCGATGACATCTTAAATCACTAAAAAACAAAGACTACTAAAACAGTAAAAAATGTCTAATTTATCCCCCTAATTAACAAATATTCAGCTCTTTATGTTGGTCTTTCAGTTAAAATATGTAACAGGTTCAAGTGGCATGGAAACTTTCATAACATGATCAGATGAGGACCTAACAGGAAGTCTATATTTCACAGACTGTGCAGACAGAGGAGGCCGGCAGCAGCCCACGTCCTGAGACCCCCAGCACCCTTACAGAGACGGAGGGCGAGATGGACGACAGCCTGCTGGAAGTCGACCTCGATGGCTACCAGACGACTCTGGAGGAGGTTTTGACTTGGCTGCTGTCTGCTGAGGATGCCCTGCATGTCCAGGATGAGGTGTCGGACGACGTGGAAGAAGTTAAAGAGCAGTTCCACACACATGAGGTAGGAGAAGCGAGATTTGCTGACAGAGGATTTGAACCAAAACAAACTTGAACAATTTAGCTTCTATTCTCTTTATCTGGTGCTGGTAAAGATAGCATAGTCCTCAAACTGATGTGACATTTTGGAATAAGATGTTATAGTAGTTGACTGCTTGTCCAACCCACTTGCTATTTTGTTGATATCTGTCACTCTTCACTGCTACTTCCAACACTGTTTGCCAGACACATGCCTTCCACATCTAGCCTTACATGCTCTGTACTTGTTGGGAATGTGAGGAATTCTTCATGGAGTCACTGAGCACAGCTCTCCATAGGCTCTTGGCCCAGGGCTGACTGATTGACTGACTTGCTTTCTTGACATGAGGGGTGTATTGCGAAAGTTTGTCTGTGCTTGTGTGTGAAGGGGCTTTGAATGGATTCCCTTGGCTGAAATGTGACTATTGGTGAAGCTGAATGCCTAGAATCCAGGTCAAAGTAGAAAGCTGGCAACAGGATCTAAAGCCTCTTTGACAGCCTGGCTTATCAAGTGGCTTAAACTAAATTCTGCTGGTTTTTTCAAACTGTTCACAAACAGAAACTAAAAGTAATCAAAGAACTGTTAAATGTACTTATAACCGATCATTCAGTTATGAATCTTACTGAAAATAAACTTCAGACATTTCTGCCTCCTTTCCACAAATTTAGTTCAGTTTATGTTTGAGCCTTTTGTATTAAAAATTATTGTACTGCTGGAATTATACTCAGGTTGCACCCATCTAACTCCAGGGGTTTTGGAGGGCTGTCCTCCTTTATTTGTCAATATGTTTCGTTTAATGCAAAACAGCCCCACAGCATAATGCATCCACTACCATGGAACAGTGTTTCTTTTTTTCCCCCAGTGCCCTCTGGCCTCCAGTGCATGGAGATATAAAATGTGCTCCAATCAGGAGTAGATTCAACAGCTTTGGTTAGTCACTGTGGGGTTCCTGGTCAAACAAATGTTATTTCTTCTGGTGATGATGAATTGAGTCAGATAGTTTAGGCTTCCATGCAAGTTGGTTCAGAAATCAACAAATTTAGGTTAGCATGTTTTTTTTTTTTTTTTTCAATGCTTGACCTTAACTGTACTAAACTTTTACGGAACATTCATGAAAAAAAAAAAAAAAAACTCAACCAGAAAACCAATAAAGCTAGAAGTGCTCTACCTATTTTGCCATAACAAATATTTATCCAGAATTTTGCTAAAATCTTGCTACTTGCTGTTAAATCATGCAGTTGTGGTTGAAATGACAAGAAACACATTGATTTATCCGAACATTAGTGTTGGTTTATATGATTGCATCTGAGATTGTTTGTGTAATTTTGACTCTTTTGTTTATCGTAGAATGTTCAAATGAATTCAAACCTTTGCACATAGCTCATTTATTTAAAAAACATTAAAGTTGTTTGTTGTTTAGTTTTTTCCTTTTTTCCAGGAAAAATAACAATCATAAACACATCATCACCTATCATTCTTGGCCATCATAAAGGTATTCAAACTTCTATCCAGGACTGCGCTATAACTTTATCCCCCGTCTTTTCCTTCAGGGATTTATGATGGAGTTGACGGCTCATCAGAGCAACGTGGGTAATGTGCTGCAGGCGGGAAACCAACTCATTGTTCAGGGCAACCTAACAGTGGAAGAAGAAGAGGAAATTCGAGAGCAGATGACCCTCCTCAACTCTCGCTGGGAGAGTCTCAGAGTGGCCAGCATGGACCGCCAGGCCAGGTAGGAAGAGGCAGATATCTACAGCTGCAAAGAACAGAGGGTCTTGGTTGTCATGACAATATCAGTGTGCATCGTTACAATTGTAAACGACTGCCTGGATGCAAGTTTTGGTCGACTTGGATCATTTCAGATGTTTTGTCTAAACTCCAAAATACTTTTGTCTAGGTAAAAGTTCACTCTGTGCCCAGAGCCCATATATAATTATTTGGGATGTAATAATATTACAGTTGTAATACTTTATGTTTTCCTTTACTGCTGTCCAACATGGATTTCTCCTCTTTCTTTTAGTTTTCTCATCATTAGCTGTGCTGTTAATACTTGTATGATCTTTCTATTCTCCAAAATAACATAGGATTGGTTGACATTTAGACAGATTTTAGACTTTAGACAAATTTTATTTGTCATTTTTTTGTCGTTTAGAAACAGCTCACTGGACAATTTCATCTTTTTAAAAGTGCAGCCTTGAAAAATAGAAAAATAGACTGTAAATTTACATTTCTAACTTTTGTTTTTTGGCATGGCTTAAAAGTTAAATTTCTTTTTTTTCTCTCTTACAAAAACTGATTTATCAGTTTCCCCCCCTCCCTTAAGTGTCATAAAGACAAATGATGTACAGTACTTTCATTAACTAAAATCTATTTTAATCATTCCCTCTGAGAGGTTACCTTAATTTAAAGGGCAAAGGAATTTAAGCTTTAAAAATGCTTATTAAATAATCATGTTTCAAAATAAAAATATAACAAACTAAAAGTTTGCAGCTGAGTTTTCCTGCTGTCGTGTTCGGTCAATTATTAGTACACATCTAAGAACAAAAAAGTTATAAACTGATGTCACACTGAGCTATGGGAAAAAAAATCTTAATTTTCAAAACTTAAATCTTTTTAAAAAGAAGATTTAATTGTTTGAATTTATTAAAAAAATACTAAGCCCTAATGAGACACTATGCAAAATGAACTTCGGCTCATGTTATTAAAACCTAAATGTGACTGTTGCAAGGGATTTTCCTCTTGTTGCTTTTGAATTTTGATATCAAGTTTTACCCTGAGCTCTTCTAGAGACCAAAAAAAAACAAATCCTTGTTTTTTTATGGAGTCTTAATCCAGTATGTGCCAATATTCAGAGGAAGTTAAAGGTTAATGTGTGGAAAACTAAGTCCTTAACTTTGCCCACTGTAATTTTCCAGGCTGCACGAGGTTCTGATGGAGCTTCAGCAGCAGCAGCTACAGCAGCTCTCTGATTGGCTGACGCTGACGGAGGAGCGAATCAAAAGCATGGAGACGGAACCAGCAGCCGATGACTTTGATCTCTACAAGGACAAGATAGAAAGACATAAAGTAATATAATTATTTTTCCATGAACACAATGTTTGAGCATATTTCATAGACGTACAAGCTGATGTTATTCTCTTACTACATATCTTTGTGGTGCTGTAGTCCTAAAATCAAATTTTTTTTTTTTAGTTAGTCAACATTTTCCATGTTGATGTGAAATTCTCTACCAGCTCAGTTTAAAGGCAATTATACAATTATCAGTTTTCATCATCCTTTAACTTCCTGTTTGGTTTCCTGATCAGGAACTTCAGAACGACTTGGAGGCAGAGCAGGTGAAGGTCAACTCTCTAACGCACATGGTTGTCGTGGTGGATGAGAACAGCAGTGAGAGTGCCACTGCTGCCCTGGAGGAGCAATTGCAGGTGAGGTACCATGCTTTAAATTTGAAAAAAGACGATTGATACGTGCAGATCTACATCTAGCTATACTATACGTACATGGATGATTATGGATGTCAGTTTGCTAGTAGCCTGAAACTGATTTAAGTTGAATATATTTTTCAGTCTTTGGGTGAACGCTGGGCAGCTGTGTGCCGCTGGACGGAAGAAAGGTGGCAGAAGCTGCAAGAAGTTTTCCTAGTGTGGCAGCAGCTTTTATCCGATCAGGTATCAGATATTTTCCTCCCTGTTAAATAGTTTATTGAGAAAAAAAACTAACTAATACAACACACAAGAAGTAATCCTACCTAGTGTTTGAGTTTAAATACAGCAATAATAATTTTAAAGTGATACATTTGCTCTTTCAAATTGACTGTTTCTCATTTTTTTTGCAGCTCTGGATATTTTTATTTTGTCTAAAGATGCAGCATATAAAGCTATATATACTATTTACTTTATAAGTGAAATTTTATTGATTTTTCTTTCCTTTTAGAGCTTGATAAGAGATTGGTTGGCAGAAAAAGAAGAAGCTTTAAATCAAGTACAAACCTGCAACTTCAGAGACCCCAGTGAAATGAATGCTAATGTGCGCCAGCTGACAGTGAGTTGGAAAATCGAATTATCCTAAGTTCCTGAAACTTTTATACTCATTTCCTGAATAAGGCTGGATACTAACAACTTTCTGTTTCCTATAAAGAATATCTTCATAAAGCGGCCTAATTTTGCGTTAAATCATCAAATAAATATATTGATTTGCAATTAAATGAAAAGTTTTAACCTTTTTTTTCTAATTAAAACTACAATTACAGAACATTGTCTAAGTATAGAACAAAAACTCAGACAAAGGCCTACAAAGGGGCTCTCATGATGAAATTGCTTAGATGTACAGTAGGTTTAATGTTCACCAATTGTAGACATTTTTTTTTCTTACAGTGGAACGACTATTTAAAGACCTCATCTACAACCTTTTTTCAGAAGGCCTCATATAACTCATTTATTTCCAGAAAGATGTCTGGTTTCATTAGATAGCCGGCACTCAATATCCAATGTCTGAAGTTTAAATTGTATGCTAGTGATATATGCATTACTTCGACCTTGTGTAATACAGCTGCATGGGGTTGTAACCCCTCTAATTGGTAATAGATGTAGTTTTGTCTGAATTTATTTTTTAACAGAAACTGGATTATGTTTTTAATTGTCCAAGTTTATATTTAATGCCCATATATGCAAACACATTCACAGGCTGCCATAGGGTATCCTCATTCTTTCACATGCCTTTAAACTATAGAAATTGAACTTTTTTCATTCTTAATTGGTGCTAGAATTAAGGTTATATATGTGTTTGTTCTCTTAGATTTTAAAAGAAGATATGGAGAAAAAGAGAAGGACTCTGGATAAGCTGTCTGATGCAGGTCAGGATGTTATGCAGCTGCTCCAAAGCGCTGAAGCAGCTGCTAAGATTGAGGCCGACACAGAGGAGCTGACGCACCGATGGGACGGCCTGGTTCAAAAACTAGAGGACTGCTCCTTCCAGGTGTGTACTCGGAAATACTGACTGTAAATGAGATTGGCTAATAAAAAAAGAAAAGAAAAAATAAAGAAGGCGATAGTAAAACTTTTCATGGTTATTTTTTTTTCTTTAATGTTTTCCGTTAACTAAATTTCAGTAAAGATTTTCTGTCTTTTTTTTCCCCCTTGTATGCTCCAACTCACAGGTAATGGAGGCTGTGACAGATGCTGGAATGACTCAGGTGGAGGAAGAGTTGATGGTGGATACTGCTGCAGCTGCTTCTTCTGCTATCGACCAGGAGTTAGCCCAACCTGCTCCTGCTAAAAAAAGATTGGTGGAGACCGATGCAGAAATCAGACGACTGTAAGCCTACCTTATACTCTTGTATATTAGGGGGAGTGGCGGCTGATTGGTTAGGGCATAGAACTTGGAATCCTGTGGTCTCTTGCTCTTTGAGCAAGACCCTTAACCCCATGTAATATAAATGCAGAGATGAATTTCTCCAATGTGAGATCAGTAAAGTTCAATTATTATTAAATAATAGACAATAGACAGACGTGCAAATGTTAAACTGACACATTACCTCCTGCAGGTTTGAAAATAAGCTCTCGGACTTGATGGGCTGGATTCAAACGTGGAAGACGTCGGCTCAGTCGCTGTGCTCCACACATCCTGAAACTACAGCTGATGCAACAGACATGCAGGAGGAACTAAAAGTAGGAGGTTAACCATTAATGAATAGGCAGAGAGTTTCATTTTAAACTGCACTTTACTAATGCTGTATGAATTATTGTTTATTGGCTACTTTAGGAGCTGGAGATTCAACTAAAAGGGAAGGAAAGCGCAGTGAGTGAAATGACAAAAGAAGGACGCACCCTGATGGACCAACTTGAGAGGGGTAAGAACAGCAAATTTTCCTGGTATGCAATAAAGAAAATGCTACATTAGAAAAATATAGATTTTAAACAAAATTATAATAGAGGTGTTGGATGCATATGAGCTTTTGTAAAACTGTTTTTTATTTGGGTAAAAAGTAGTCAGTGATTAAACAAAAGTACTTTGCGATAAATATTAAAATATTCCTCTTAAGCTGTGTCGTTTCCATACGATCTGTGATGTTTTCCAGGCATTTCTATTTTATTTAGTGTTAAATGTCAATAGTACAAGTGCATTTGAGTATTTTATGGAAAAATAAATAATATAATGTCTAAGCCTACAAGCATGCAGTAAAACTCTAGACTTTATATGCCTGCTTTGCTCTAGCAGCAGTGGAGCAAGAGCAGGATTTCTACCATGGAGTTTCTTCTATAAAATCCTGTTTTATTGCATCACCTTGGAGCATATTTAACATTTCGAACTCAACAATGGTGCACACTTCTGCTTCAAATGTGTTAACTTTTCAAATATCTTTTTGATCTGCAGAGGGAGCAGATGTTGATGCAGTGAGGGAAAACATAGACCTGATTCAGACCGAGTGGGATGTCTGTGGCAGGGAGCTTCAGGCCGCTTCTGACAGGGTTCACACTCGGACCCGGATCAGACAGGTTTCTGCAGAGCTCGCTGACCTCGACCAGATCTTGGAGAAACACGACCAGTGGTTGGCTGAAACTTCACCTGTAGACAGCTGCAGGGAGGTTGAGCTGAGAAATCTGAGAGGAGAATGTAAGGTAAGGTTTATCACCTGTCAGGATTTACTCTACTTTCCTTGATGACTCAGTTTATTGCTTACTCTGATATCTGTATCTAGTGGAACATATTTGTTCTGTCAAATCAGCATTTGTTCACTGAATGTGTCTAAAACTGTTTTACCTTAGTCCTTCAACATCTGAGCCAAATGCTGTAACACAGGACGGTAGGAAGGAAACTTAATTTAGTTTTAAAGGAAGGCCAACAACAAGCTGACATGTGTCTGTGTGGGCCCCACACTTGGGCTCACCTTTATGATTGGTGTCCGAGCTCCTTCATCTGGAGAGATCTTGGAGT